TCAGAGGTTATTGCCATCCAGTGAATGATGAGGTACTTATTTACATTTTGGCTTTCTGTCTCCAGCGGCGCAGAATGCATGTGCACGTTTCATATTGTGCTGCATGAAGTGCTGCCTCTGGTGTCTGGAGAAGTTCATCAAGTTCCTCAACAGGAACGCTTACATCATGGTGAGCACAGCATATTATTGGTCTTTCCAATTATAGTTGTTACTGTTATTGTTGTAGTAATAATTAATATTTGTGTAGCTGTCATCTGAACCCATACAAAGTACTATCAATGGGGAAAACATGCTTTGCTATACTTAAAATAAGATTTTTTCTACTGTTTTTTTTTTATATAAAATATTGGATTTGTTTCCTCGACAGATTGCCATTTATGGGAAAAACTTCTGCGTCTCAGCCAAAAATGCTTTCATGCTGCTCATGAGAAATGTAGTGAGGTTTGTGCTGAAGCTTTGTTTCCTACTCAAGAGTCTGTTTTAAAAGCTGGCTGACTGCATGTTACCTGACCTGTTCATAACATGAATACATTTGCATGTGTTAAAGCAACTCAGTGAATAGCGTCGTATTTCTCTGACTCTGACTGTGTGTCCCGCAGGGTCGTGGTGCTTGATAAAGTGACAGACCTGCTGTTGTTCTTTGGAAAGCTCCTGGTGGTCGCAGGAGTAGGTGAGGTTGACACGTGAAAAAAAAAAGTGTTTCAGGACTGGATAACTATACAATATCTGTCAATATATGTGGTGGGTTTAAAGGAATACTTCACCCCACCCCCCCCCCCCCCCCCCCCCCCCCTCCCCCCCCCAAATGACCATATGTATTTTAATTAAAGTTTAATAAACTTTAAACACTTACCACCCTTGGTCTGGTAAATTTTTAGCGAACAGTTGCTTATTTACACATCCAAAAGATACGTAGAAGTATTAGCATTCATTTGAAGTCATTTTTGAAATAGATGTGTTTTAATATGATGAAGTCAAATAATCATTTACATGAATGCATAAGTAAAGACTAGAGACACTGACATCTCAATCTTTGTCCAGGCGTATTGTCCTTCTTCTTCTTCTCTGGACGAATATTGCTACCAGGCAACACCTTCCGCTCTGAAACCCTCAACTACTACTGGATGCCAATTATTGTAAGTTACTAAAGGTTCTTCTCTGTTTTTAATAGTAGTCATTAAGATACATCATAATTAAAGCTTATTTTGTCTGTTGTTTGTAGACGGTGGTGTTTGGTAGCTACCTCATAGCTCATGGATTCTTCAGTGTGTACAACATGTGTGTCGATACACTCTTCCTCTGCTTCTGTGAGTAGATGTTTACAGCTTACCATTCATATTTAACATGATTTATTGACACAGGAACACTGAGTAAAATAAGATTAATTAACTGTAAAACAATCATTGTAGAATCATAACTACACATATGAGCCAAACTCACCTGTTTGCATGTCACTGCCAACATGAGACATCGTTATTTCTGTGGGGAAAGATTTGGAACAAGCAAATATACTCATTTAGTGTTTACTTGACAGTAGTTTCACTTGTAAATTTAAATTCAAGAAGGTGAAAACTTTTCTTGGATCATTTTTAATTGATTAATACAACAATACACACACAGTCCGTTTCACTCAATTCGGCTCTCACTCTTACAGTGGAGGACCTGGAGCGCAACGATGGATCTCTACAGAAGCCGTACTATATGTCCAAAAACCTCATGAAGATCCTCAACAAATCCAACAAAAAATTACCAAAAAAGGTTAAAGGGAAAGACTGAAGATCCTGAGTTCATGAAACTGCACAAACATGGTGTCACAAATTTTCAGGTTATCTTTATTTGCATCTTTTAAACTTTTAACACTCCATCTTTCTCCAAAAAAAGTTTACCAAAGCTAATTTGCTGATTTTGCACTTCTTAATGCATTTTTTAAAAATTGTATATGTATATATGTAGTATTAATGACTGTAAAAGTGAAAGAATTGAGCATATCAATGCATGTAATGTGAAATTTTTATCCTACATATTTCTTAAGATGTGATTTCAGATGGAACAAAAGAATTGCAACAAAAAGTACAAAAAAAGTTCTTACACAATATATATATATTTTAAGATATTTGTAAAAAATTATAAACACAAAACATCTTTATGACCACAATGTTACTGATTATATTGAAAATACTGTAATAAAGTTGTAAATATGACTGTACATGAACTAGTGGTCAACTCCTGTGTTTGGTTGCCATCAACCTCCATGCCTTCACTTTCACCCATTTTCAAAATTCATACACAATATTCTTATGGTCCAAGACAATGTTTCACAAATGGTGTGCTCCAGCTCACTGGTGTGTGGTGAGTGCTGTGGGATTTTGTGATAACCACGCATTATTATTGCAATATTCAGCTGGGCCAAAATGTATCAGCATGTTGTGCACGTCCATTTCCCAATAAAAAGGTAAACTCCAGCTAAAAAAAGGTAATTTAATTTAAAAATCTTTACAGGAAATCTATTTGTCGCTGTTTTTCCAGTGGAATTAGAAATGTACGACATGTTAAAAGCCCTGATTGGCAGCCAGCATTAGGGATGATGACAATTAAAAGGAGAAAACCGTAAGTGGGTAAATGGAATGCTTTACAACAAAGCACGAACGAAAGGCACCTGTCTTCTTTTACTTTTATTGTCTTATGTCATGACAAGAGTGATAACGTGTTGAAGCTATTGTGCACGGATATAAATACAGGTGTGCCTTGAGATTTTGGCTTACTCTTTGGTGTACCTTGGGCACAAAAAGTTTGAAAACCACTGCTTTAGAGCTACCAGAGAGATACTAGCTTGCTTGGCATAGCTGCATGTAGTTAAGTGTATCATTGTATATGATGCCAGCATATCCTATCCCTGCCCCTGAAAGACATACTGGGGTGATTCATATGGATGTGTATGGGGAAAATTTTGCTCTGATATCAGAGCTTCACACATACCCAATACTGTAAATAAAATAGTATTAATAATAATAATAATGATGATAATAATATTAATATTTTCTGAGCTTCATGTAGATGACTGGGTTGAAGAATGATTATTTAAGATTTTTATTAAGTTGTGTGCAAATATAAATGTAGTGTAACTCTCAGCAAGCAGCTGTAAATGTAGTTAAATGAGTTGTTTAATTCCAATTGCTAGTCCCCAACAGCGGCTATGTGAGCCTAAATGAGCAGGGTGCTGCAGAGAGATTTGTGGTTTCCTGTCCCTCGTGCAGTTGAGCTGTAGCCTCCACTGTATGTTGAGCTGAGCTGGAGGAGCTGTGATCGAACTCGCAATCAGTGAGTGTGAAGCGCAGTGTAGATTTTGACTGTGCATAAGCGTTAACCCCTCAGCCATGGCGGAAAAGTGGCTGACTTTGTGTGAAAAAAGGGGGTAGAGTCCCAGCTCCTTATTAATCCAAGCACTTGTGGTTTTAAAAGGGGCTATTATGATGTGAAGGCAGGCTGCAAGAAAAAAAAATGAAAATATAAAAGTGTTGATGTTGTTACAGAAGGTAAATTAATCACAACAAATCAATTAGTTCTCAGGTTAAACCCAAATAAAATGACTGATAACTACATAAAAAATGCAACATTGGCTTGCAGACCTCAATAATGTAAAAATATGATAAAAAAAAAAAAAATACAGGCAGTTTTACTGCTTATTATTTGGTGTGTGTTTGCTCTGCTGGGGAAGCAGGAGAAAATACATGATTCAGCTGGATTTTAGTAAAAACTTCAATTTCTGTCCCCTAACTCTGAGATGCATGACTAATATCATCAAATTCATCTTTATAAGTTGCCATGAGGATGTGATGAAGACATATGGTTTTACATTTAGCTATATTTTCACATAGGGATTTGGCATTGTGTATTTTGAGCCTATGCACGCACGCACACACACACACACACACACACAAACTAATATTGCAATATTGTTATACAGACCACACTGTCACATCCTTATGAGCACAGCAAGAGCATTTTTGATCGACTCTGCAGCTTTAATTTTGAAAATATTGGCTTTGGTGTGGTTGATTTGAGGCTGCCGCTTGGAATTGTGGGTAATTTCTAACAATAAGTTGTAGAAAATATATATTAAGAATTGATATATCCATGAAATAGGAACTTTTATCAGTGATATGCTGACTGGTGAGGTGGGCAGTGACAGAAATCAGCTGTTTTCGAGCCACAGCTGCCACTGTAGCACTGTTGAGTTGTTATATCTGCTAGAACCACGAGCCATCACATTATTTTATCGCTTTGTTATGTTTTTAATTTGGCCACTCCTGCCATGGAATCCAAATGTCTTCCACACTGCGCAAGATGGCAGAGGGAAATGAGCTGCAGTACCATTTTCAACCGCATGAAGGTGTCAAAGGACTGGTGGCGCTCTTTCAACACTTAGGCTGCTGGCAATAAAGACAGTCAAGCATCTATGTGTAGAAAAGTGCCCTGTGTGAGTAAACGGCCATGGAACTCTGTCCCACCCAAACACAAATTTTCCAAGAATTTGATTAAAATTTGTGCTACATTTGAATGGAAACCCGACAGTAGATGACACTGGGAGCACCCAGGGTAATGTTCTGAGCATATGGGTACATTTTGTGTTTCACAAAGCTCATTTGGGTATAAAAAAGAAAAGCATTGGGTGGGTCTCCAGTCAGGCTCCCATTCGTAGTCTATGGTGCATCTCCATACTTTATACCCTATGACATGACAAGTTTGAGACTTATTTCTCTGGTTTCTGGCTTTGAGAGAGAGTTGCTCGTGTTCCTGAATACTGATTAAACTTCCCCAGACTGTGGAAATAACATATTGGAATTCTTAATTTAGGTGGAGCTCTCCTTTAAAGCCAACAAAAACAGACCCTTTTTGTTTGTTGTCTGGATTTAATGAAATAACTGCATGGATGAATCATAACAGACCCAAATCTTTTGATAAAATTAAAATGGAGATAATGACAACACAAAACAAGTCCATGTTTTTATCAAGTTTTTAATCTCCTACATCATTTGGTTTTGCACAACGTCTCCAGTTTTAGTCTGTCAAATCATGACTTCCATCACTTGTTTTAGTGTCACATAAGCCTTACAATACAAAGTGTAGCTTGGACAGACAAGTATGCGAGAAATGACGAGCCCCAGCAGCCATCGTGTCAGACATCCCACAGAGCCCTCTGTCTCCATCTCTGACCCTGGTGTGAATGTTTACAAGCCAAACACCTGATTGATTACATCTAGATCAGCTAAACTCAGGTGATAGTCTTTTTACAGGTGTTGGGGAGCATTACTGTGAATGAGAAGAAAGCTGTGTGAAGACTTCTGTGGCTGCAGAGAGAGAGAAAACTACACGGTGTGGGGTTAAAGTAATTGAGAGAAGCACTTCTTGCTTAAGGTGTCAATTAGTAAGACAAATGTATGTTACTTTAGTTTTGCTCGACTGCTTCAAACAGTATAACAGTAAAAGGGAGATCTTTGACGTGCACGGTGTCATAGATCAAATCACATTAGCAGTGAAGCACGCACTGTGTTGCGCTCATAACATTTAAGAGGAGACACCCCAGGTGAATAGGGTACATTTTTTTAATTAATAAATATCACCATGAAACTTCCCAAGTTGATTACGTACATTAAGAAAATTATTTATTGTTTTACAAGTTTTCTCAAATGTTTAAATGTGCAGATGAGGCGGTATCTAGTTAAACATGCACAGATTTGCACAGAAAGGAAATCTGAACAATGGACAATGCCAGATTCAAAATTCTGTTATAGAAGGAAAGGAGGCTCAAAGGAGGATTTTTTGATATCTCTATCACCTCTCCATAAATCAGAAAATACTGTCAGCAGCAATAATGAAAAAAAAAAAAAAAAAAATCTAATTTCTTAATGATTTTAGGAATAAAAGTTACATAAATCAGTCTGTGAATGATATATAAACAAACCCCTTTGTAAAAACCAACAGAATATGTATGAGAATAAAACTGGAAAATTTGGTGTATGTAAGTGCAACTGAAATGTTGATTTCTGGCTCAGACTTTAAAGATATGTATTGTAAAATGTAATTTTTTTTTTAGACAAATAATAAGAAACAACAAGTGAATAGGGTAAAAAAAAAGTAACTAAATTTAACCATCACCATGAAACTTCCCTAATTTATTACTAACATTAACACTGTTATTTTTTGTATTACAAGTTTTCTGACATTATATGTTTAATTATGCAAATTATTTAATTAGTTATACACTAATTTGCGTATGTTTCCTGACTAACATTGGATAAAGCTGGGTTCAAAGTTCTTGTTTGATTTTGTTGACATATTAAGAGTCAAAGGTTTTACAGAGGGAATATTATCACTCCATAAATCAGAAAATACTGTCAACAGCCATACAAAAAAAGTCGTTTTTTTTTTCACATTTGTGTATTTTGGACATGTTATGGAAGCAAAATTAGCCCAAAATCTCAAGACTGACAGCGCATGGAAACTGTTTTCACCTGGAATGTCTCGCCTTAACTTGAAGGAGAGGTTGGCAGAAGAGTTATTAACTTTGGCTGCGAGACTTTTCTCGAGTAAAAAGGAGGGAACTGATGAAAAACCAGGAATTGTTTCTAACTTTACAAAAACATCTTGAGGGCCCCCTCGCTCGCCTCGTCCTCCGTTGCCCTCTGTGGCTGCTCATCCACTCAGAAAACACGTAAAAACAGCATTTACAATATTCATATGTACAAATATATAATGTTTACACACTCACTCAGACACACAGACACATACAGTCAGGAAGAAAACAAATCAACTGCGACAGAAAGTTCATTGAACTGCTGCACGTCATTCCTGTAAATTCTAACACGCTGACCTTGTTTCTCCTCACTTGTTACAGTGCATCGACTCTGCTGTCGTGACACACAGTGCAGCATATCATCAAGCTCCTTTATCAGCCAGAACTTTTGCTCTGTAATCAACAAACTGTGCGTCAGATTGCTTTTTTCTCTCCTAAGTTGCTCGTGTTGATGCAAAAATCTCCCAAACCGACCCTTTGACGGCACACCCATTCACGTCTGTACAGCTTTGTGAGGAAAGACACGACAAGTGGTTAAACACCAGCGAACACACCAATCTTTAGGACAGCCTCATCTACAAATGACTTCACAGTGCAATGGCAGGTTTTGTTAAGACAAATGTATATAAGAAATGCATCCACCTGTGCTGTTTCTATCCGTCGATCCATTTTAAGGAGTACTTGTTCAATTTTTGAGGAAACTGTAAACAGGAACATAACTTACATTTTTCACCCACCCACCCGACATCGTACATGACTGATCCACTACTCTTTGGCCTTTTGAAGGAAGAGTTGCTATGGCAACCACTACGTAATCTCATACCCCGTCTTCCCTGTTTTAGCCCGTTAAACTTTCCACAACGTGCCTCCTCCTCTGTCTCTTGGCTTACTAAACCTTCAAGAGGAATGTGAAAAACCAAAACAGAATTAGTCACTGCCCTGAATTATCCTCCACCCACCTCTTTTCTGCGCAAAAAAATCCTTTACATAGCTTACCCTGATCACTTAATACTGTCTCCGAACCCCAAGTTATTTTTGTAGTTATTTATCTACAGGTGCATGTAGAGAGGGAGGGCCAATATGACTTTTTTCGGGGTTCACACACCACTGCTTTCCAGTGAGTGCGTCTTGCATAAACAAAATCAGCAAAGCAGGTGGGTGGGGCTGAGATTCCTGAAGCGAATCTGCCTTTGCCAGGAGGAGAAAACCAAATATAGTGTGTATAATACATCCTGTATTTCTTGTTTTGGAATCAAACACAATCCTCCGCTCTCTCCCAAGTTAGTACCTGCTGGGAAATGTCAAATGAGTGTGTGTCTGTGGCTGGAGTTTAGTGTGTGAGTTTTTTTTTTTGTTTGTTTTTTGTTTTGTTTTATTGCGCTCCTCCCTTCCGCTCATCGATCCTCTTGTTGATCCATCCACCCACCCATCCCGTCTGCTCTCCATCACACGCTCAGCAGCCAGAAGAAGAAGAAGATGGCCACGAAGAGGAAGAGGGAGTCTTGCCAGTTGTTATTGCCGTTGTTGAGGTTGCCATTGCCTTGGTGATCGCCTGCGTACTGGTCTGATAGGGGTGGATGGGAAAGGTTATTACGCCAGTGTCTCATGGGAAAGTGTGTTTGCGTCTAATTATGACACCTGACAGCAACAGAAATGTTTATATGCAGCTTTCACCTACTAATATTCAAAATAATCCAATCAGTGTTCACCAAATTAAATTTAAAAGGACAGTTCACCCCAAAATCAAAAATACATATTTTACTTCTTACCTGTAGTGCTACTTATCAGTCTAAATTGTTTTGGTGTGAGTTGCAGAGTGTTGGAGATATCGACCGTAGAGATGTCTGCCGTCTCTTAAATATAATGTAACTAGATGGCACTCAGCTTGTGGTGCTCAAAGAATAAAAAAAAAATGATTTAAACTGAACAGGGATGTCCCTCCAGAAATCATGACCCACTTATTCAAGATAATCCACAGACCTTGTTGTGAGCAGTCTGACATGGGAGCTATTTTCTCTCTATCAAACTACACCGGCCAATAGTTTTCCTGAAAATGAGAAATTTTCTTTCCCAGTAGCAGAGGCACACAATTGAGTTGTTTTAAAGGTAACTTCAGCCAAGACACAGTGGTCATATTTAAAGCAACAGTAAAAGCAACCTGGCTGCTTTAGTGTATTATTTGGTGATATCAATTAACACCATTTATGTTAATTAACTAGTCATTCGCAGGTTAACCCACAACCCAGGGACCCAGGTCAGGCGGGGTCCAGGTTTGGGGGTCAGATGGTTGATTAGCTTACCTTACAATAGATGAGAATTGCATCCAGTGTGAAGGACTTACATTAACAACTCATTTATTTCTGTGGTGATAGGTCTCTGAATATTTCGTATGTATCAACCTATTTAGTTTACCTTTATGTCGTTTTCCTGTCATTATTTTTCCTGGGATACCGAAAACAGCTTGGATGTGTTTCCCTGGGAATCCTGTTTCCCAGGATTAAACCCTAATCACGGTGCAGAAGGAAGCGTACATCTACTCATGGACTAGAGACTCATGCTCTTGACAGCGGGAGATGTAAACATTAATGGTGTCCTCCTTGGCTAAGCTATAACTTAAGCTAGCTCATGGTGTTAGGCGAGCTAGCGGTAGATGTATGCTTCCTTCTGTGCAGTGATACGGTTGGCGGGTGTTGTTCAGTAGAAAGAAAATAGTTCCTGCATGAAACTGCTCACAACAAGGTCTGTGGATTATCTTGAGTAAATGATTTCTGGAAGGAGATATTGCTGTTGAGTTTTTCAAATGTAGTTTTTTTTTGGCACTTTGAGCACCACAAACTGAGTGCCAACAATGTTTATGTCTTTTTTCATGTGGTTACCTGCTCTGTGAAAAGGGTCGTTGGCGTTGAAGACTGTGGTGAAAAAGCCGAAGGGGAAAGCACCGATGCCGAAAGACATGTGAAAGCCAGTGTCCCCAAAGCCCTGAAACATCTGACGCAAAAAAAAAACAAAGTTCAAAACAGATTAGATAAACGTATAAAAGAAGAAAGAAATGTGTTCACTTTTGGAGCAACATCTACTGACTCACCCCGCCTCGACTCTCTGGCTCTGTTCTCTGTCCCTGAGGCCGAGGTGGAGTTTTCAACCTGAAGCACAGAAACATCAAATCATAAGACAACCAAAATGCCATCGCACTAAAATCGACACACACAGATGTGAACTCTGGGTGTACCTGGGGTCTTCCTGGCTGGAGCTTCCTCTGCCGTACAGCGGGATGACTTTCTCCCTGCTGATGCCTGCTTTACAAACAGGACACTGCTGCCTGCTGGGCTGTGTCTCCAACCACTGAGAGGAGCAAAGATGTCAAAACCTTTATAATACATATCAGATAAACCCCTCTTTTAATTGTCTAAATCCTGGCTCTAGTGCCAAATGACAGCTCATGTTTTCTAGGAAAGGCTGGTGCTGCAGCAGTCTAAAATAAAGATTTAATCCAGTGGCCTGAAGCACATTTAGGATCTCAGGACCAAGCGGCACATTCACAACAAAAACAATTTTTCCACAAATGGTTGCAATAATTTTTAATCTCTACCTGAATCCATGTCGCGTTCATGCAGCTGCACTGAGAGCAATGTACAGCTCTGTAGGGTTAAGTGCAGAGAAGCAGGGTGAAAGCTGCAGTAAAGCAGCAGACAGAGGCATTAAGTGCTTTAGCATGTTTAAGCTGCACTAAGTCAACTGACAGGTGTAGTTACCACCATGAGGTTACATCACAACCTTCTGCTGATAACATGCTGCTGGGTGCTGCCGTGAAAAGGCCCGACTCAGCAACAGCTCACAGACACAGGTGTTTTCACTCATCGTGTCTGATTGGAGACCTCTTCTAGGACTGTATGAGCAGGTACAGACCAGCTGTCCTGTTACTGTCAGGGTTTAGCAATTAATAAAGTTCAGACATGTTGCTCATAGTGGCTTTCAGACAGATCACACCCACTGACATCACTAGGCATGTTCAAGTTGAACTGCGCCTCACCTGGAAAGAGGACAAGATCAGATCTCAAAAAACTGTGGCCGCCCCAACCTCGTGAGGTTATCATTGCCCACGTGTGCATGACGTCAGAGCAATTGGGATCAAGTCAGACACAAATCTAAGCGACATGCAAAGTGCAGCTATCGTTCTGCACAGGCCAGGCTTATCTCAAACAAGCATAATGACTCGGTCACAAGCCGTATGACAGGTACGTTTTGACACATGAAACTGCCTGAGCTGGCTGAAGCTCACACAGAAAACACATTATTGACTTGATCAATTTTATGGCCTTCAAGGGAAGTGAATATGATTAAGTTAATATTCTCAGGTACTGATGCAAACGGCAATTATTTTCATTATCTGTTGATCCATCAATTCTTTTAAAATCATTTAATCTATTGATATAGGCCAGACAATATTAACATGCCCCTCAGCTTTCAGGAACCATGTCTTCAAAAAGGTCAATTATTGTCATCGATTAACCTGCCAATATTCTCTAGATCTGTTAACTGTTCTGTCAGAATTGTTAAAAATGAGAATTACAATTTCAAGAGGCAAAAGTGACGTTAAATTATCCACAGTCTAAACCTCAGAGACTTTCAGTCAAGGGCAAAAAAATCCTCGCGTGAAAGAAATTGGAAACAACATATCCACTTACTATATAATGACAAAAACTCTGAGTGTGTGCGTCTGTTCCACGTTTTTCTTCTCACTGACTTGGTCAATCCATGTGAAATTTGGCACAGTGGTAGAGACCAGTGAAAGCACGTGAACACACATGAACGCGGAGCCCATGTCTCACGGTCTCGCGCACATGTGAACACGGTGTACAGAGAGGCAGTTAGAGCTACAGGCTACAATGAGGCTAAAAACAGAGTTCAAATGACGTTTTTCCAAACAACTTTTTTTGTCGGGGCTTTAGGACACTTTGATCACTACGGACGAGCAGTATGGATATATTTTGTGGTTTCAATTTTGTGTTTTTGGACTTTTGAATCTGGGGCGCCTTCAGCCTCCATTAGGTGGAGTTGTGTTGCTACCCACTCTCCCCTTGGATCTCCGCAAGTGATGCGAAGACTAAAACTTCACCTGAGCCTCCCTTGGCATATGGGTGAGTAGATAATGGCTGAATTTTCATTTTTGGGTGCACTATCCCTTTAATGGGTTCAGTTGACTATTTAATCTGCAATTTCCTATGACGTGTATCCCAAACACACACCATATGACACTGTACGTGGGCAACTGTGCACTCAATGGGTATGGACTCGTGTTAAGTAATTTTGTGTAGAAAGTGAGCAAAAGAATAAATTGATTATCGTAACAGGAGAAAATTCCTATGATGACATTAAAATAGTGAAATAAGGGGGAAAAAATTGGGCTAAGGAAACCAAAACTTGTTGACTACTGCCATTTCAAAAAAAGTTTAGGATTACGAAAGAAGCTCCAACAATTAACTACTGCCCTCTCCAAAGGTCAGGGTTAATTTATAAAATATTTAAACATGAGATGGGTCAAATGTGACCCAAACACTATAGGAGGATTACTATAACAGAATACTGAACTAGGAACATAGATGCGCTACCCAAAATAGATACAGATTCATTTTCGTGTCAATTGACTAATCATTTCATTAGATCCATTTATTACTACAAAGTGTTAGCTGACCTTAAAATAATGCTGCTGCTTTATACTAATCAGTACTGAGTATTGAAAACACCTGTGTGGCTGTTTAACAATTATCATGAAATAAAGGATGAAATGAAAGAGGAGATACTCACTTGATGGAGACAGGGCCAGCTGCAGAGACAGAGACAGAAACAAAAGATTAATTTGCATTCTCACAATAGCTTCTTTCTCTTTAAATGTCAGCTGCTTGCCTCAAAACCAGCACCAACATTCCTGGAGACAATTATACGAACATATATCAAATCAATCTTAATAGCTAGATTAAATGCAAAGTGTGTTTTTGCTGTGGCACTTTTTCGCCTGTTAATCTCCCACCTATGGAAGCCCACCTGGCCAGAACAAGCTGTTCCTAACGAGGTGGCTGATTAAACTTGTCCCCGCTCCCCATTGTCAGTATTAATTGGCTCCATCTGTTGTGAGCAGATAGCGACAACAGTGAGTGTTGCCCGTGTGGCTGCTGGCCAGGCCGACCTGCTGCTGCATTGTGGGAGTGCAGGACGGAGGTCTGTGGAAACGCCACATCAGTTGGTGCCAAACACGGAGGCTTTTTTAAGGAGGCGGATGATGACACAGGGGTGAATATGTCTACCTCTCTCGCACCTTACGGCTCTGGAGATTCAGATGATCATTATCTGTAGGTTAATACGACCTCTGACCCCTTTCACATTACCATTTTATACCTATATAAATACAAAGATTGGATTTTTGCTGGAGTCTATACCAACTAAGCATGTTCCCTTACGTCTAGAATATGATATGTAGGCAGGGGAATCTCTGTAGCACCACATTGCTTTATTTATTATATGTTGTGACACATTTTACCTTTATCAAATAAAATTAGGGCTCCTGCAAGTTGGACATTGCACTTAGCTGTATTATGATTTCAATAATATTTCACTCATTCGATGCAATGTTATTTCCTGTCCACAGAGGACTGTGGGTCAGAAAAGCAAGAAAAGCATGTTGGCATGGAGACTGCAAAATGTCACCTGAATCTCTGTATGTTTTGGTCAGAGATTCTTTGTGAGATAAACGTCAACAGCATAGTTACGCAGATCATGCAAGGGAACAGGCAGGACTTGTTTTTGACACTTTCAGTACAAACCTCAGTGCCTCAGGTGGGCCTAACACCTCAACATGACCACGAACTAACCTACAAACAAACCATGAAGCAAAACATGACCTCATGCCAATCTGCAGCCTTTTCCACACATGTACTGTATTAGTGTAACACTGGGTATCAGATCACTGCTGCAACTGGCATTCCTGTGGATACAAACAGCCGAACAAAGCGTAAGGCCTAAGTTAACATAACAACCCGTTCAACTGTGATCTAACATGTGGCCACACGTATAGCCGAGCTCTTGCGACCTGAAAATAACAGCTTAATTTCCAATAAGAGGCTCAAAAACCATTGAGTGAAGCCAGACTGCAGAGTGTAATGCTCTGCACAGACTCCATTACGTGACCCCAGTGGAGCCATTACACAGATGCGGAGCCTCATTTTCATAACGTTAAATTAAAATAACAAAAGCTGAGACTGGATTATCACGGTATCCCCTTTTGATCTTAATCATATGTTTACAGGCAGAGACTGCAGTAATGTTCCACTAAACACAACGCTTGGTGTTTTAGGGAAAACAGCTTTATCTGTAACGTCAGCAGCAGCACTGAAAGAGTCCGCCTGCATGCAACAGTTTGGGCTGCAACTAAGAATTCTTCTACCCTCGTTTTGTCCAAAATCCAAAGATATTCAATTTGCAATTATATACAAGAGAGAATCAGTTTGCATGTGAGCAAAGAAGAAAAATGGAATAATACTGGCATATCCCAAATGTCTTATTTGGAAAATGCAAATGCATGTGTGCACTGGTGAAGCACACAGCAGAGGAAAGAGAGGAGGAGGAGGAGAAACACAGCCGAGCGACAGGAGAACACAGGAAAGGCTCTCACACTGAGCTAAAATGAAACAAGCGCACATAGGTAAATAACAAATAAAATACTGTCATTTAAAAATAAGATTGCACAGACATATGAGGCAAGATCATGATTTTTTTCCCCCGATTAATCATGTAGCCTGTCTCCCTTGCTAACCTGATGTTAATGTCTCTTGAACACAAATCACTCCTCTTGAACCTCTTACACAGTTTGCTACTAGGGCTGTTTCCTCAATTTACATTTGATACTTTACATTTCAAACTAAAATGTGACACAGTGTAGGGCGGTTGACTCGGTTTCCTGGATAGTTTCTCTGGCACACAGCAACACAATCGAGGGTAAAACACAGGTTGAGTAGCAGTAAATATCAGGAGCTTCTGATGCCAGACAAGTGATACTGGCTCAATTCAACAAAGCATTTCCATTGTGCTAAATCTATTTATTTTTGAGCATGTTGGCAACAATTGTAGTTGTGCTGCTGCAGCTGAGCAAATAGAGAAAAGCCAGATGAGCTGCTTCAAAGATAAACTGTGTCAAAGTTAAATAAAAGCTAAACAGAGGCAGCATTAGGAGTTGAACTCACGCTGAGGCCATCTAAACTACAAAATGAGAAAGAAATACGACTATTAATACGTAATTATGTTGCAATTTTGATTTGAAGTTGCAGCAGGTGATCTGACGTCAACGCTCTTCTTCCTTGCTGATAGTTTCATCACACTTTCATCACGTTACTCACATGATGAGAGAGACGAGGGGGGACACAGGTAACATGGCAACTAAGTTACATCAGCTCTCATGACACAGGAGCTCCAGTGAAACTCGTGTGGAACTGTGAGGTGAATTTCTCTGATCAAATATTAAATAAATCAACAGGTGATAGAAAACATTCCTGCATTATTCCCTGATAAAAAAAATGTTTCCAGGCCTCAGGCACTGTGGTCTTGTGTACATACTGGTTGGAGGTACATTTTGTGGCCTCCTTTGGCGCGTTTGCCACAGTAGGTCTCTCTGATAAGTTAAAACCTTAACTCTGAAAAGGAGATAATATCAGGAGTCACAAAAAGATCACTGTTAACGAACTTGCAGCAGGAACATCCTACTTCCATAATCTCCACCTCCTGTCTCCACAACACGTGTGCACACCTGTACAGATCCTTATCACTCAAATCTACTAAAACATACATTGTAAACAGGTAAAGAGGCGTCAGAACATCCTGACTTTTACCACTGGTTATGACGCCCTTAGGTTTGACCCCAATCCCAATGTCTTGGCTCTAATCTCACATTAGCCTTGACCTGCGCGCCTGCACATCCATCAGTCAACAACACTCATGAATGAGCCTTGAAACACGTCACTGTGTGCATGTGTAAAAAGTGGTGTGAAGGTTGAGTGTTGCGCAAGTCTTGAATGAAACCGAGATGGGAGAAGGGACTAGAATCACAGTTAAAGTGCAACCACAGGGTGTAGTTACTTTCATTATTCATCAATCTATTACAATATTATTTAGGGACTGTTCTTTACTTATCAGAGTAGGGGGGTGGCTCGGGTGTGACTACCGACCTCCCTCCACCATAAAAAAAAAAAAAAAAAAAAAAAGGTTTTAAAAACAAAAACATGCCTTTCTGAGGGTATTTAGGATGAATACTAAATATGACCATTTAAAGTTGAATGTCCCTACCCTAAGCCAAATCAAAAAACATAACTCTCTCTGTAGTGCTTCAAAAATTATTGGACCATCCCCTCCTCTTTCATAAGTAATGAACAGTCCCTCCTCAAGGTTATGCTAATATAACTGAATTGTGCAAATACTGGCGGATATACTGATTTATTAGTCAAAATGTTTGATTTGTTTCTCATTATTTTTGATGTACCAGGGCTCCAGACAACTTATTTTCATTATCAGTTCATCTGAGAATTGTTTTTAAATGTATATAATATCAGAAAATTGTATGAAATGTCAAACGTACAACAGTATCAGCTTTTCAAAAACCTTGAAATATTTCACAGTATTGGTATCATTCACCTTTTCAATGACATTCACACTAACTGAACCGCTTTCAACTTTTTCAACTATTCCTGTCACTTCACCTTATTCTTACTCATTAAAGCCAGTGTCAGCTGTAAAAAAAAAAAACTTAGAATATTCCACATCATTAAAACACTACTGGTATTATTCAACATTTACAGCCAAGACTGCAGTTTACTGTCAGCTTTTCAGCATGCAGCATTCACACCCACTATTCCTTAGAAACTACATGCTGAAGTTACTTGTGTTATCCAATAAACTGCCAAAATCTTAATATTTACACTAATTTACAAATACTGAAAAGCAGCTAACCCTCACATTTGAATAGCTGGAACCAGCTTATAAGTCAACTTATAAGTTAATCAATTGTTTAGCACTGCTGCACACTTGACAGTGGCACATTTGGACTGCTGTAAATGACTGAACAAGGACCTGATCCCAAAGCTGCAAATAAACACCAGACAGATTAAACTGAAAATTAATGTGTTACAGTGTGACCTCTGACCTACATGAAACCATATGATATGAGCCAGTTCACATGTGCAATTTGCAAATAAGGTGATCAGCCTTCATGTGAAACATCAGGACCACAATCACGGTTAATAATGACGACTGAAGTTCAGTTTATCACCGACAGCAAAACCAACACACTCAAGCCATCTTGGCCGCTGCCATCTCCTACATATCGCTGAGACAACCGTTTAAAACAGCGTGTTTTGGGGCGTGATTCCGCCGTGAAATAAGTCCAGCTGACGCTAAAAGGAGGCCGCACACACGGCAAAACTACACACAGCGTAAAACAACAACAACAACCACCTCCTCCACACATGAGAGCTACCCCCGTCCCCCGCCTCGTCTCCTACCAGAACAAGTGTCCGCACATACTGATGACAGCGTCTCTGGCAGTGTCCAAACAAATGTTGCACTCGAAGGTGGCCCGGTCCCGCTCCCGTTCGCCCTCCCCGCTGCCGCCGCCGCCGCTGCTGCCGCCCTGCCCGTCGCGGTCGCTGCTGCTCTCTCCGGCCGAGTATCCTCCTCTGCTGGCCGCCCCGCCGTCACTCGAGGACCGGGGATCCGCAGCCGCCATAGTGTTTACTGGGCAAGTGAGGGAAGTAACGTACTGACCCGACCCAGCCCAAACCTACCGAGCCCGACCAGAGCTAATGTTAGCCGTGAGTAACAGGCGACGACAAGTGTCACACCAGACCAAGGCTGTTGCTGTCGCGCTACCTGAATGAGGACTTCCGCTTCCGGGAAAAACACAGACGAGAGGCGGGGAGAATAATAAACACCACCCCTTACTATTATTAGTATTAGTATTAGTATTATTACTACTACTATTATTTTTATTATTTTATATTTTTTAATAGGGAAGAAAAAAAGTTGAATTGTTAGGATTGACAAAAATAAAATTATGGTATGGTAAGTCATGATTTTGACATAATAAATCACACACTCCCTACATAAATGAAAATGTTTAAATATCAAACAATGTTAGCTTGCCTCTATAATGCCAAGTTATATGAGTGAGTGATCCTATTTGTCATTCATTCTCATAATATGAAAGAATCAGAATGAGAAACGAGTTTTTTGTTTTGTTTTTTTTTTGTTTGCAAGTGTGTTTTCACATTAAGAAATGTCAGTATCAGTAACCCAAAGGCACGGACGGATTCATCAGCCAGGGGGCCCAAGGGCACAATCAGCTGCTGGGCAACATTACATAATAAAACTATTAAAAGAACCATTCAAATGCCAGAATAATTGAATTAAACAACTGAATGAAACAAAACTCCTTGCAAAATGCATGGCTGTACTGTCATCCTCTGTCAGGGGGAAAAGAAAGAGAATACTGGTCAGTGTATTTCAGTCTTAAGTGCGATTGTGTTCAGTCACCTACAACAATCCATTCATTCGTTCAGGAACATTATTCAGGGACATGTAAGAAACAAAACAAACTAAAAAATGCTCTTGTGTGTGCTTTATTGTTGTATTAATTTAGTCAAAGTATTCACTCACAAGTTCAAATTTTGATATATAAGTCAGAGAGAAATCAAAATGGTGACTTACAAAGCCAAATTATTATATGAGTTTTTACTTGTCATGAACTTTGCAGCCTACTTAACAGACTGACTCACAGTCACATAATTTGAATTGGAAAATTGGATTCAATAATAATAGGCCTATGACTTATATATTATTATTCCAGCATGTAGTGATATAACAGCTGTACACATGGCACTACATAGCGTTAATAGTCACTGAATAAAATGCCATATGAAGTTCATAAAAACATAGGCTACACTCAACGTTACACACAAAATACCTAAATAATATTTAGTATTTATGAGCGGTTATTGGTAGCTACAGGTTTTATGTCATTGTCGAATAAAACCCAAAAGCACACATGATAAAACGTCATAAAATTAGTTTTTGTTACTATGGCGCTAACCCGGAACCTTTGTCGTATGTCTTGTTTCCGCCCGGAGTCAAGAGAAGCAGGCACTACAAGCGTGTTGTGTACACTAGAAATACACATGCTTTAGTGTTAGATAGTGATAATTTAATAAAATGTCATGAAAGACATTCGTAAAACGAGCCACTGTAACCGGAAGAATAATTTTTAACCGCGACGGACATTTTAAAGTGCGTCACGGCGGCGGTTATTCGTTAAAAGAGAAAACAAGAAGTTTCCAGTCCTGTGACTTCAGCGAGCAGCCACCATGAAGATCAAGCGACAGAAACAAGCCAAGAAAACAATAAGTTTCTACAAATACAACTTCAGCTTCAGGGAACCGTTTCAGATCCTCATCGATGGGACCTTCTGTCAGGCGGCGCTAAAAAACAAGATTCAGATTAAAGAGCAAATGCCCAAATACCTGATGGGAGAGGTGCAGCTCTGCACTACATCGTGAGTACATCCACTTACTGCAGTGTTATGTGCGTACAGGTTCAATGTAAACTCCTAATCTAACATCTCATCATTTACTTTTTATTTTCAGCTGTGCACTGAAGGAACTGGAGACTCTGGGGAAAGAGCTGTACGGAGCTAAAATCATCCTGCAGAGGTTCCAGGTGAGGAGATGTCCACATTTCAAGGAGCCTGTCCCAGCCTCACAGTGTCTGCTGTCCATGCTGGAGGAGACGAACCCACACCACTACTTTGTTGCTACACAGGTAAATAAAATAAGAGCTCACCTACACAGACACACACATCACATCATCCAGAGAGAAAATGAAAAGAGAAATTACAATGTTTTATTGTTGGAAATCAGAATTTGTAAACACATAGTTTATATGTGAGTGGATGTCTGACTCAAACATCGTCGTCTAACTGGAGATGGACTAGATATTAACTAGGCATCTACAGCAAATATAGATATTAGCTTGGCACCGTTAATGGGTTTTAACATGTTCTCAGTTGCCAGTTTATTAGGTACACTCACGATACAACAACCCTGCAATAAGTAGGTATACCTAATAAACTGGCATACAAGTGTTAACAAACTTACCGTATTGAACTCTACGGCATGCAGTATCTTCCCTTAAATAAGCATTATTTTAGAGTCCCACATGTAGAGCTTGTCAAATCAATAGGTACTTAAATACAAAGATTTACATGCCTGCTAGAATGGGAGGCAAAATAAAACCATTTGAGAGGAATAGGTAGGGGTATGATTAATATTGTTCCACAAAAGTACGCCTATCAACATGAACCCAGAAATATTAATTTATAGATTTGTCTTACCCACAGGAATGACAGATAATGAAGCTTGTCATTAGTCTTGTCAAGTGTAAGAACTCTGGACCTCTTAAAATATTACAAGCTAGTTAAATATCAGTTAAGGAAATACCATATAATCACTGGTAAGTCTAGGAAGAGAAGTTTCTTAGGACAGACTAAATTAGGGCTAAATGGAGTGTTATTCATGTTGTGTTATTCTACTGTATTTGTGTTCTCCAGGACCACACAGTAACCGCAGGCCTGAAGAAGATCCCAGGTGTTCCTCTGCTCTACATCATTCTCAACACCATCGTGCTGGACAAGCCCTGCCAGACGTCCCTCGACCACGTCCAGGCCGTCCAGCTGGGAGAGCTGGTCAGCCCGGCCCAGCAGCAGAGCATCCGCAGCCTCAAGGAGGAGCAGGGTATCGGCCAGAGGGACGGAGAGCGTCGGGGGAAGAAGAGGAAGAGGAAACAGAGCAATCCTAACCCTCTGAGCTGCCTGAAGAAAAAGAAGAAGGGCGGGCCGACACCACCGAAGAAGACGACGGAGCAGGGGGAGAAGAGGAAAAGAAGCAGACACAAGAAACGAAAGACTGAGGGAGGAGACGGGTCTGCTCCTGCTGTCACAAATACATAGTACAGAAGACAGAGACTTTACCCAGTTTGTTTTTTGCATAAACATCATTTGAAGATTCATCTTTCTAATCCTAAATAATTGACACTGCTCTGTTTTTTTAATTTCATGGAATAAATCAGTATTTGTCACACAAAACTGCATTTTAAAATTCTGCTCATGGTATTTGCTTTATTTTGAAAAATGTTGCAACAGTTTGCTGGACCCAGGACTAACAGGCATAAGACTGAAACTGTTCAGAAACATAGTAATATTTTGAGATAGAGATGATTTGTGTGGCTTTTATATAAAATAAAAAAAGCAGGTTTACAGGCACATGGTTGATGATATACGATGCACTCAAACATTACATGATATACAGTTTATATGGAAGTAGATATCAAAAACAATGCATTCAGCTGTCTTTGCAGAAGCAAGAAGTGTGTTCACGATGACTTGGTGGTCTGCTTCTTTTTTCAGTAGGTGCTGTGATTTTTGATGTCTGCTATTTTCTCATACGATGAGTTTAGAGTCCAAATGACAATGTTTATAACAAATATGTCCATTCAGACTTCACTCGGTTGTGATATCAAGTCATTTTCAATCAAGCTTCAAATGAAAAAACTCCAGTTCATTCTTTTGATATGTATTACATCAATAAATGTGTACAGAACAGAGTATCTACTTGATTTACACTCATAAGTTATACACTACTGTCATTAAATGATTATCCATGTATAAAAGACACTGGATACATTGAATTTGTGTCATCATCTTTAAAAGTTGAAACCTGGGTAAGATCAAGACCTTTGACATTTAAGTATGTCTGCATTAAAGATAACAGGTTTCATGACAATCAGAGAGAAGCTCATTCAGTTATGTTTAAATCTATACCGGGCCATGCTCTTCTTTGGAAACTCTGTCACTGCCTATTGGTCAACTCCAGAAACATTTTAGGGACATGCTTTAATGGCTTAGTTAAAGTCCACCAAGTTTGTTGATGTTTGAAAAACCCGTCATTGATTTATGGCCAAATTTTGTGGAAGGCCATTGCACTTGTTTGTAACTGCTGGTGCCCCCTATTGACTGATTTCAAAATGAATTAATACGGATAAGCGGAGGACAACGAGTACGAGTACGAGTACGAATTAATACACATGGTTCACTGTTATTTCACAAACCCTGCAAGTTCTGTAGTGACTGGACTGGACTATCAATTTCCGATGTCTAGTCTGATTTGTCTCATTGCATGCCCATGTTTTGCATATGTGCTGCCCTCTAGTGCAAGTTTTGTGATGATTGACCCTGAGGTTCTGGAGTTATGTGCTGAGCCACGCCCCCTTTAAATGTCATTGGTCAATATCAAAACACAATGACATATCAAAAAGCTTTTGATAACTTTTGATTAGGTTTATCTAATGATGATCCACAGAAAATTTGGTGCCAATCAGACCCACTGCTTAGGAGCAAATGTCAAAAATGCGTTTTTAAAAAAATTAAAAATGGTGGAAAATCTAGTCAGATGGACCTTAATGGTTCTTGAAGATATCGTAGAGCACATTCAGCTGGACATGTGTGTCAAATTTCAAGTCAATCTGACATACAGTGCGAAGGGGGCGGCCTTTCAAATCAAAATTTCCTCTAGCACCACCATCAAGTCGATTGGCATTGTATTTCTTGAGGAACTTCCAATTATTGGTGAACATTTCATGTCTCTATGATGTACCATCTTACGGACATTTGCAAAAACATTTCTGAATACTACTACTACTACTAAAACAGCACAAAACAATAGGGTTCACATTCAGCCCAGGCTTGAACCCCTAAATATTTCAGGGCAAAGCATGCAAGTATAACAGACCGCTGATGTTTACATCAACCATAGGTTGAAACTCTGATGCTTTTTATGAGCTGTGTCATAGTTACACACTAATTATATACAGTATGTACTATATACCAACCTTTTAAAGTTTTGGAGTCTGTATACAAGAAATCACCATAAAAATTATAAAATAAGTGTGTGGTTGGACATTAATTACACTGCAGCTTTTGAATGCTACTGTCAGTTAATCTTAGCATTATATTTGTTCAAAAATGTAATAGTTATTTTTTTATATCAAGTGTCCTTGGAGCAGTTGGACCAGCACCCACATCAGCTGAATATTTTTCCAGCTGTGAGCATTAGAGCTGCAAAGATTAAAAGATTAGGTGTTAACTATTAAATTAGTCACCAACTAATTTGATAATCAATTAACTGGTTTGCTGAAAGTCAAATTCTTTGATCCCAGCGTCTTAAATGTGAATATTTTCTGATTTCTTTACTCGTCTGTGAGAGTGAACTGAATATTTTTGGGTTGTGGACAAATCATCCTGGGCTTTGGAAAACACTGATTGACATTTTTCACATTTTATTGATCAAACAAGTAATCGATTAATAGCGAAAAACAGTCTACAGATTAATCCACATTTAATATAACTGTTAGTTGCAGCCCTAGTGAGCATCTCTATTTCCTTTGTGCGTTACATGGTTGGAGAATAATGTGCAACAGCAGCACATTTAAAAAAATGCTTCGGACACAACTGTAGTTTTGAGCAAACAGCCGATGATGCAAGCAATGCATTTGCAAAAATGACAATTTTTGAGTTTGTAATGCTTAAAGTGCTACACTACAGTTGTATAATAATTAACTGCTGGGTGAGTCTGCAAAATCACTATTGTAGTAACTGTTTAAACGTACTCTTACAGACTAGTCTGGAGATAGTGCATGCTCCTTTTGGCTAACGTCAGTGTACATGAGAACTTTTGTTCTTCAGTGGTGGGACAGATGAGTCTCCAAGTAACACGGCTGATGGAGTTTTCACTCCCACCGTAAATAGACTCCTTTTAATTTAGGGGCTGTGGCAGAGCAACACAACAGGGAAGAAAAGTTGGTGACATCTGCTTAGAAAAATAAGAGCTGGCAGCAACTCAAAACAAGAAGGGAATACACAGTGCTCGCTAAATTAATACTAACTTAGCTAGCAGACTTTGTAGCCAATTTGACATTGGGGCCAAAAATACTTTTTCCATAGTTTTACAATGGAAAAGAGACACCTGTAAATCAGTGGATACATTTTTTTGAGCATCACAACCCTGGCAAATTAAGTCTTTTCAATACTGAGATTTGATCCATTCAGTTCGATTACATTTCAAAAATGTAGAAGAGGTGCACAATTATGTTATTTTATCCCCATTCAAGTTAGCAGAGGGCTAATCTGGAAGTAGCCTGCTCGGCCAGCGAAGCCTCAAGTGTGCGTGCCCTATGGGCGCAATGATGCGGAAGATCCAGGGAACTTTACAACCGGGAAGTTGAACTTTTTTGGCTTCATGCACTACTGAGCAAATTCAGGCCTCCAGGAGGTGCACTGAGCTTTGATGCCAATTTCCATAGTGGCCAAACAGTGTAATTACACCATCATGTGATGCCCTGCAGGCCAAAAAGACTTTTTCCCATTGACTTACATGGCTGAAAAGATGTCTTTTAATCAGTGGATATATTTTTTTGAGCACTACAACCCCTGCAAAATGTTCCACTATTGGGATTTTCCAAAATAACAGTAGAAAGTCTAGAAGAGTCACATGATTGAATCATTTTATCCCCAATCAAGTTAACAGAGCGCTAAATCGAAGTAGCAGCCTCAGCTGACAGAAGTGTATAGTGCACCTGCTCTATCGGCCACACAGTGCGGACGCAGTGCCAATCATCCGGGTAATTTTATACAGTGCTCCACCTACAACACTATATCCAGTTCTCTTTATACATCCATGGGTACAGCAGGTCATCCACTAATCAGAAGATCGAAGGTTTGCTCCTCCATGGGTGTGTGAGTGTGGGTGCATGTTTGCCTGATGAGCAGGTGGCACCTTGTATGGAAGCTTCGGCCACCAGTGTGTGAATGTGTGTGTGAATGGGTACATGGGACATCTAGAGTTGCTTTTAGTGGTCGGAAGACTAGAAAGGGGCTGTACAAATACAAGTCCATTTGAAAGTTCCCCAGTCCATGTGGAATTTTTCAAGGAAGAAACCTCTTTCTAATCCAACCATGTTACTCAGACCTCTTTCCTCCCACCACTGCTTGACATTAAAATATTGCAGACAGAAGATAAAACTCTACAACATATACAAAACAAAGTCAACAAACTCAAATAAATAAATAAAACTTCAAGGTGGAGTCTGCGATTCTGGGGAAGGATTGTTAGTATTTGAACTCAACAACCAAATAGATAGACTGTCCCATTAGTGCTCCTTCAGAAGCTCCAGTAATATCTTAAATGTTATTTGTGTTACATTCTTATGTCTGTCAGGCTGTGTATGAACTTTTTTTTTAGAGCACACACAGAACAGACAGCTCGCAGATTATGAGGAGATATTTGCTGAATTTGACAAAGTGTGTTGGATTAGAATCGCTGATACCACCTTTAACAGACAGAGAATCCTGTGGTGTACACCGAAGAGTTTTTGTTTTCCTTTTCGAAGTACAAAGTTGTGTTTTTTAGATGATGTGGAAGCGAGGGCCGGGCGTAGCAATAATGTCGCTGTAAGGCTCCTCCTGTACGAGCTCCACCGCCTGCTGCTTCTTCAGAACCAGGAAACTGTAGAACTTAGCTGCCGCTTGCTTCTTGTTGTTGTTCCTGCACAGATCCAGCAGGCCGACTGACTGGGCGCCTGTTTTGGCCATCACCCTCTGTGGCAAGGTGAGAGAGAGTCAGGAGGGGAAAGCTTCATTCAAAAACATATTTTAAAGTCAGCGCGCTTTATAAATCTACTGTATTATTGTCTCTTACCTGCTGCTCTCACTTTAGGCAGCTGATGATAAGCTAAATGTCACCAGATACAGAAATCTTAAGTCTCAAGCTGCATGTCGAACCACAAAAGTGCCTGGTGACTGTGGAGGCCACTGGAGTACAGTGAACTCATTGTCACGTTCAAGAAACCAGTTTGAGATGATTTGAGCTTTGTGACATGGAGCGTTATCCTGCTGGAAGTAGCCATCAGAAGATGGGTACACTGTGGTCATAAAGGGATGGACACGGTCTGCAGTAATACTCAGGTAGGCTGTGGTGTTTAAACCATGCTCAGTTGGTACTAAGGGGCCCAAAGTGTGCCAAGAAAATATCCCCCACACCATCACACCCCCACCACCAGCCTGAACCGTTGATACAAGGAAGGATGGATCCATGCTTTCATGTTGTTTATGCCAACTTCTGACCCTACCATCTGAATGAAGCAGCAGAAATCCAGACTCATCAGATCAGGCAACGTTTTTCCAATCTTCTATTGACCAAATTTGGTGAGCGCATGTGAATTGTAGCCTCAGTTTCCTGCTGTTAGCTGACAGGAGTGGCACCCAGTGTGGTCTTCTGCTGCTGTAGCCCATCTGCTTCAAGGTTCAACATGTTGTTGGTCTGGCACCAACAACCATGCCACGTTCAAAGTCACTTAAATCACCTTTCTTTCCCATTCTGATGCTCAGTTTGAACATCAGCAGGTCGTCTTGATCATGTCTACATGCCTAAATGCACTGAGCTGCTCCCACGTAACTGGCTGATTAGCTATTGGTGTTATCAAGCAGTTGAACAGGTGTACCTAATAAAGTGGCCAGTAAGTGTATATAATGCATACAAACCTGGAGGCCATGGAGCATCTGCTGAGTTCTTTTGTTCCACCTCCTCTCCTCCTGGTCCTGGTCTCCTCCCTGTGCCTCCTCCTCCTGACAGACAAACACAGTTACAAACACCAATCAAGGCTTTCTATCATGAAGTCCTGGACAACATGACTCTGTGTCAAAGATCTGTTAACTCACTATGAATACATTAATAAGAAGTTTAAAAGTACAAGTGCACAATGCACAGTTTTGGGAATCTCCATCTCACCTCCTCATCAGACTCATCATCGTTCTTCTTCTTGTCCTTGTCGCCAAGCAGGTCCAGCTCTATCAGCTGGCTGATGTTGGTGGTTTCCTCTGGAGGCAGATCCACATTGGATGGCTCCAGCTGCTGGGGCACATCAGAGGCTCTGGACCCCTGCTGCTGCTGCTGCTGCTGCTGTTGTTGTTGCTGTTGTTGCTGTTGCTGGTCCAAAGCTCCCATCTAGAGAAAGAGTGTAAGAGGGTACAGAGACAGAGAACAGTTAGTGAGTTATTGGAGTCCTGACATTAAATACAGGGTGATCTCAGATTTAGAAAAGTCTCACAGGTGTCAGAATGTATCTGCTTCAGTACATAAAGACATCTGTACTCACAGGCAGAGCTGGTTCTGTGTCCTGGGCTTTGCGTTTGAGGCCGCGTTGGGAAGATGGAGGGGGCATGGCCGAATCGTCCAGCGTCGTCCTGCTGCCTTCCACAGCTGAAGTCTGCAGAACACTGGCCTCCTCCATGATGGTCTGGTCTGGAGGGGACATGAGGACACACTGTACATGTTAAAAACAAATATATTTGCGCATGGGAACACTACTACAACAAACTACGACAACTCTGGCCCGCACCAAGGAATAGAAAACACGTAATACATGAAGCTCAAAATATCCACACTGTTTCTGTGATGACTTTCCACAAATAATCCTGCACAAATGTACAGAAGGACCTATTTCTTACCCATGATGTCTCTCTGCTGGTGTCCTGTTGTTTCCTCTCTGGGCACCTCCGGGTTCTCCAGATCCTTGAGGAACTCATCCAGACTGTCAGCCTCTCCACCTTTCCTCCTCTTCCTCAGCTCGTCCGGTACGAGAGGAGTCAGACACCTTGTAAACATCTAGAAAGAAACATACGGTATTTTAATTCTACTGTGTACAGCTACCCTTGAATATCTGTGCACCTCTAACTGTTGTTACCTTGAGCAGCCTGGCGTTCCAGAGAGGCTGAGCAGGGAGTGAGAAAAGCTTCTCCACTCCTCCCGTCTCCTTCCACATCATCAGCTTCTTGGTTGGAGGTGCCAGGTCCAGGGTGGTGACAATGTCAGAGTAGTCAGACAGCTGCGCGCGGATGGTTTTACTGTCCAGCTCCTTCACGCTGTCCACAATCAGCTTCCTCTTACGCTTCGCCTTGGTCTCCTTCACTACAGAGTGCATAGGGATACAGAGATGAATCAGCTCAGTGAACTAAAATAGCTCTAATGTTTGGAGCACAAACACACTTTCTATATAAACACATTGTTCCTGTCTATAGTTTATATAGCAGTTTACAGCAGGTGTTGAAATGGTCTCTTAAAACTGCATTACCTGTGATGTCAATCGGCTCCAGGGCAAAGGTTTCCTCCTCGTTGTGGACTAGCGTGGTCTGTTCTGTCTGGTCTGCCATGGCTGGAAGGGGCTCTGTTGGGCCTGAGTCTGGACTATCTGGAGCTCCCGCTAACAACACATGATGACACCATGATGGATATACATATTATGATCTATAGGTTGACGTTAATTGCATGGGACCAAAGCTATTGCTACACAATGTGTAAATGTTGCCAATGCACAGTTGATCATGTGTTAAATTTGATTTGTTATTTCCTATGAACATGAAAGCGCTTTTATTTTGAAGAGACAGTAAACTTATATGTAAAGGATGTAGACAAAATACGGGTTAACGGTGCGGTAACATTAACAAGGAGACAAGATGGAAACGTGAACCAACATGGCTTTTTTCAGATACCGCTGAGGTTATTTGTGGAACTGACCTGAGAGAGCGTCAAAGTCATCCTCATCGTCTCCGTGATCCTGAGGCATCATCACGCTCTCTGTGATGGCAGGAGGGTCGTCGAAGATGCCTCCTCCATCCTCGTTACTCAGCAGCTTGTCCACTATGTGGAGAGGTGAGGTAATTCAGTTATTACAATCAAGATAATTCACTTCAATTGAAATGCCAAAAAAATTCAAATACATGTGTTGATGCTATCAGCATTCATCATTCAAACTGGCTGACATCAGTGCCCATCATATTGAGAGGATCCTACCCAGCATGCCTCCCTCATTGCTCTCCATGGGGTTGTCTCCGAAGTCGTCCTTGTACTGATCGTCGTACTCCAGATGGTTGGACTTGTCAGCCATCGCATTAGCTCCACCCTCAGCCTCCAGCAGCAGGTTGGAAGCCGACGCTGCCATGATGTCCACCTCGAACGCGCTCTCCTCCCGCATCATCTCCCGGTCGTCCATACCAAAGTCAGCTGCACAACAGAAATGCATGTCTTTACACTATATAGTGAGGAATGTAGGTGAGTGGAGGAAGTTACACTGTCAGCTAAGAGTGAAACACCATTAAGTGGCACATCATTACTGTACAATAGCAGGCACGCTCAGAGGAAAGATGCCTACCGAAGTCATTGTCCTGCAGCAGGTTGAGGTTGCCCACCTCCTCTCTCATAGTGATCTCCTCCACTCTGCTCTGGTTCAAGTTGAACTGCTGAGCGACGTCAATATCACTGTACAAAACACACCACAGTCAATTCAATACAGTGCTGGAAGAGCACAGTGGAAAAGGATGAAATGTGCTGCTAAAGTATATCTGCAATTGGAGTGCCTTCCAGCAGTTGTTTTGTGATCAAGTGCTTGTCATTTCAGCTGTCTTGTCTCTTAATATTTATCAGTGATTACCTACATTTTCCAGAAGATAGGGATGAGTTATACATGCAGGTGGAGAGCAAGAGCGAGAGCCAGCATAAGAACTCTGCCGATTGAAAAACAAAATCATGCATGGTTCCACAATATTTATAAATAATCAACATGACAGGCAGAAATATACTAAAAAAGAAAACTGTCCCTCTGCAGCCACATTTCCACTTCCCAAGGTCCCCGGGCTAAACGGCACATCTAGAAACAGTGTGAAAGATGCTTTGAGGTACGTTTTCTCTCATTTGGTGGGTGAGCCAGATGTTACCCAATCAGCAGCAACGTGTATGTAAACCCCGCGGTGTTAAAAAAGCAGTGCACTTGTTTAACATACACAACAGGGTGTTAATCTCACCACTATTTCCATTTAAATAAATGTTTTTACTACATTTTGTCGGGGCTGAATACGCCCCCGAACTTTCCTGCCAGCAAGCTCACCAGTTTCCACTTTCCCTCATCAGCCCTGCAGTACATACACCAGACCCTTCTCCCCAGTCAGTTGCCATATTGTCATTGTTGCTTTTGAGCCACCTGCACCTGAATCCTGAAACCTGTGCTTTACTGGAAACCTGGATATTTTTCCTGCCCCTGTTCCTGTTTAACCATGGACTCAGTTTCTTCTGTTTGGACTTTTCTACCCATGCCATAAAGCACATGTACCTCCACTTTGTCAGTTAATCTCTAAACTGTTTCTGTATGCGTTTGGGTCCTATCTCTTCTTGCTTTGCACTCACCACTGTGACATCTACTGTTGGCAATGTAATAAATAAAATTAAAATTAAAGTTGCTTTTGTTTTGATCGCTGTAGTTTGCACTGTTCAAAATAGCTTCTAGCTTTTTTTTTTACTTAATGCTCTCTCAGGAAAAAACAGACGGACAGAGGACTCACTCTAGGTCTGGTAGTGGCTGGTCGAAATCGTGGAACTCCTCAGGCAGCGTGATGGCGTTGTAGGCTGCTTCTCTGTTCTCCTCCGGAAGATCCACCACACCTGAAACACCACGATGTATGAAGAGAGTTGCAGCATGTGGATGAACAAGACTTAAAACTGAGAACAGATGGACACACTGGTGAGAAAAATGTAACAAATATACATTTGGAATATTCTGTTTGCTTATATGGGGGAAAATGAAGGAATAAATGTGTGTATTTATACTGTATATATGTGTATGTACAGTAGGTGTGCAAACATGTTTTCTTAAAGAGTCAACATGTGCATGCCATTGTTTTAGATGTAAATATGTATAAACTCTGCACACTGTCATAATTATACAGTAGAAAATATAAAATAATTTTGGCATGTGTGCACGCATCTGTGTAGATTAAGACATAAAATTTACGTAACATTGTCTTTTTCAAAGGACATAAGAAACGCTTTAGTCTCTGACTGACACTGCATGTGCACCACTAGAGGAAAGCACAGAGTCTGTCACTGCTGACAGTTTTATTTGACTTATAAGTTGCATTTTGCCCCCAACCTGGTCTAAACGCCATCTTGATCTTGATGAAAGCCTCGTTACAGTCTGCCAGCAGGTACTTGGCCTTCCTGTGGTAGATTCTCACCACTCCCAGCAGCAGATGCCCCGATGTTCGTAAAGCCATTTTCACCTGTAACGATAAAATGTGCAGAAAAGATCCATGGCAATAATATCAAATAAATCTGCAGCTTTTAATACAAACTCAATAGACCAAAATTGACACTGCTATTGCTTAGCGTCTGATTTACAATTGATAAAATGTTTCATGTGGTCCCACTGATTGTGTCTCAGCAACAAGTAACAGTAATGAGATGCAATTCCAATAATGATACCAGAGCTGCAACTAAGGGTTATTTAAATCAATTTTTCTACAGATTATTAATCTGTAAAGTAATTGGATTTGTCAGTTTTCAATTTGTGAGACAATACAACGACATGTTTGGTAGCTTTACTTAATAAACAGCTACTGATTATGAAAATTGTGAGAATAATTTTCTGTTAGACACAATCAGTGAATAAGTTTCTGTGCTAGATGATTTAAAACTGTCTTTGCATGCAAAGCCCGAGGATACAGGCAGTCTTGATAGACTAAAAAAGACAGCCCTTGCATAGCAATCAACTCCCAAAAATGCATAAACAAAGGCTTGTAACAAAGAAAGGCCAATTAAACCAATCATGTTCTGTGAAAGTGAAGACCCTGAGAAATTACCTTGGGTGAGATGATGCTCTCCACACTGCTCTCCAGATTGCACTCAAACACGTGCGCCTTGGTCAGCTTCTTGTCCCAGTGGGCCGCCAGCCAGATTTTGGCCAGCGGCCCACGTTTGCTGAGGACAAAGTGGGCATAAAACATCGTCTCAGCGCCTCCTCACTTCAAGGGAAAGGGGAAAGGGGAAGGCCTGGAGAGAGAAAACAACACAGACAACGTACTGTAAATGATTGAAATCACAACTCTGAAAAGGTAAACAAAGCCTGACAGTTGAAAAGACACGTTCATTGTGTCGTCTGAGCTTTTGCAGGCAGACTCTTTGAAGATGCAGACATGGTTGTCTAGCTAAATGCGAATGGTGACAGCAGTTCATAGCAGGGTGCAAGCTGATTAATTGAGACGTTTTCAAGACATGGCTAGGTATGGAAACACTACTCAGGACCACATAGCCCAGGGGTGAGACTGGGTACTGTCATCTCAGAGTTCCCCACTCTGCTCTGTACACCTCTGTCCAACTACCAACTGAATGATGAGGATGGTTGTCACAAGTGCACAAAGTGTATCTGACTGTCCATATCTTTTGAACATAATAAGCTTCAGCAGAGTGAGGCCACTCTGTTCCTACCTGACACTTTAGGCTTCCATTACACACTGAAAGGGAATCCATTAAGGATACAGTTTTTGAGGGATTCAAATGAAAGTAAAAAGTGTGACAACCAACCCCGTTCTCCCCAAACGTTACTTCTTCCACCACTGAAAACTACCTTATCATAGCCGACTGCATTTTACTGTGACGTTACATCATTTAGTTTTAACGTGGATATTGATTTGCTATGATTGTACATCTATGAATATGTCTGTCAGGTAGCTAAAGTTGGTTATGTGTAACTGGCAACTTGCAGTTGTTAGAATATTATTTGTAGGCGCACTCATACGCTTAATTAGACTTAGCCTAATAAATTATTTGGTCTATGCCTGGTGGATTTTATTTCCAGTATTTTAAATTAGCTTACATTTGAGCCATTATTTCCATGTTCTTAATCTTTTGTTTTCATCCTGAATTGTGCAGCAATTTGTAAAGTCTGTTTTTACCCTTTAAAACTCGAGCATATTGGCTTGATTTCTTTTAAAAACAGGGGAAGAAGGCAATGAGCAATGAAAGAAGAAATGACCCCAAAAAAAGTAAAAAAAATAAAAAAAGAGAGAAAAAAAACAAAAGTAACCAGAAAAACTTTTTGAAAATTCTAATAATTCTATAACATAATTTCAAAACGTAATAATAATACTAATTCAAATAATACTACTGCTAATAATAATGATAATAATAATACTAAATATAGTTTTCCCTAGTTTTTTTTCCCACTTTTCTAAAATAATTGTCTTTTTTATTTTATTTTTTTTGCAATTTGTGGGCTATTTCTTAGTGTAAACGAAACTTGTGCATGTGCGCTCAGCTCCACAATTACTGAGATATATAAAACAGATTCAGTGAGGCTTTATAAATCCATAAGCTCAGTAGTTTAACATCCGGGACCTTCACTAACTTTATCAGTCAGTCAGCCAGCGGGTCAGTGAGCGCGCTAAAGGCGGTCCAGAGCGTCGCAGTCTCCGTAACCATGGCAACGCTAACGCTGAGTGACAGGCCTGTCATTCAAATTCTAATTTAATATTTCTCCGCCATGTCTTCGTGAAACTCTTCTGGTGTGATATCTCTCTTGTCTTTGCAAGCATGTGAAAACGTATTTCATGCAGTGGAAGAGGAGGGGTGCACAGAAAACCTGTCCCGTATTGATTCTAAACGGGACGCACCATTTACTTGTCAAATACGGGACAATTCCATATCTTAAGGCACGGATGGCAACCCTAGTAACGTCCAGCATTATGAGGGGAAAAAGAGGACATGCTTTTAACCGTTAATGTCATTGAAAGGACACGACCGTTACACGTTAACGTTACAGTTCCGTTACACCGTATTAACGGTGCTCGCTCTCCCCCCGGGTCACAACAGGTGATGCTGCAGACATGCTAACCGTTAGCCGCCGTCATTCAGCAGACCTGAGCACCGCAGAGCCAGCGTGTTTCTGTGTCCTCCGACACACTGAATAGAAACCGTATCAATCATAAACCTGACACACTCACCGGTGAGCCGTTTGGTGCTTTTCTCCTTCAGCCGGCCGTGGTGGTGGTGCTGCTGCGGCTGATGGTGATGGTGGTGGCTGTGTTTCCACCCCTCCTCCGACTAAAATAAACAAGATGGCGTTCACTCACTCTCTCTGTCTCTCTCCTCCTGGAAGGATTGGAGGGGTTGAAAAACTCAGCAGGATGCAGAGTGGTGCTGATGGGAGAGACAGAGAGACAGAGGGATGCTGAGCTTTGCCTGTGTGGCATCGTGGAGGAAGCATTCAGATATTATACTGAGGTAAACATAGCAATATAGGCTACATCAAATTATCATATAGCCTACAGCAAAAGTACTGGCACCCAAATATAGGTCTGCATAAAGAACCACAAGTACTCATAAAGCAGACTTGCCCATCTGGAATTAATGTAGATATCATGATAGTGGATTTTCTGAATTTAAGGAGCTCTCTTGTTATGTTGCTGTCAAACAAATAACAGCTTTATCATTGGTATTAGTACATGATGACTTCCATAGCTTTGCACAGCTCCAGCATGAGTAGTTTTAATCAGCCAACACCTGTGTGGGTGTGCATGGCCTTTAATCAGTAATAATGCATCATATTTTGCATGTAATATCAAACCCTAACACCCTAAAACTGTGCTTAACTACAGCAGTTTTGGAAGACGGTGTCAGATCTTTAATCAAGTAAAAGTACCAATACTACAGAGCAGAGATACTTATATTTAAAGTGCCTAAATTAAAAGTACTCACTATGCAGAACTGTCCTTTCAGAGTAAAGTATATTGGAGTCATTAATAAAGAATGAATATATACTTGAATGTTACAGCTGGCATGCTGCTTGTGAATTTGTGTTTACTTGCAGTCTCTCTAACCTTTGTTTCAAATCTTAGTCATGATATTGCTTAACTTATTAGAAGTTCTATGTAAATATTATGTTTGGTCTGAGCAACTTTACAGCTAAAGCAGCTTTCTCAGCCACACAGGGCCAGGAGCACAGCATGGAGAACAGTGTGCTCATGTGTTACAGGACCAGCTCAGCTGACAGACAGCTGAGCAGCACTGCAGTCCCTTAGGCTGCTGCCACAGTTTCCACACCTCAAACATGAACTGGTTTCTGTACCTTTCAGTTTCAATCGAGTATTGACCCTGATCTCTTCAGGCCAGAAACATTAACTTAAGTGTGCTGGGAGCAATTTACCACTCTGAAAAAGTAGAGGAGAAACAAATTCCTTTCCCTGCATGTCCCATTTTATATGATGTCCAAAATGCACCAGCTTTTGGTCATGGTTTCCCTTTGAGTTCCTCCTGTAGGCCACTCTGCCTCGCTTCTCTCCAAAAGTCCATTTAAAGGGGGAAAAAACAGTTGCACAATAATTCATTTTATGTCAACTTGATCTCTCAGTTAGCGTCTGCCCAACTGAACTAGCTTATTGTATTAAATAAAAATTAGTGTCCATTTGGATGAACATCAGTGTAAGCTGCGATGTGCAAAATAAAACACACAAAAACACATTACATGTAAAAGGCACTGTGAGACTATGGTTGTGACATTGTGCAACTCAGTGAAAGCACCACCAGGAGGCAGCAACGTTGGCTGAAAGGTAACACCATTCAGATGACCTACATGATCCCATCAGCACCGAATATGTACATATTTACATGACAGTCATATGAAATGTTAGGTGAAAAATGGTAAAGTGCTTTACTTGCAATGAAAGTAAGTATTTTTGAGCCACACCCAAAAATGAAACACAATTTTGTTAGGCTAAATGTAGAAATGTAAATGTATAAGGAGTGTGTTTTTCCGCCTCCATGGGACAGTCTAGGGTTGGCTGGGACACCTTTTTCTGCGCCAAAAACAAACAAACAAACAAACAAACAAACAAACAAACAAACAAAAAATAATTTACATTGCAAAGATTGCAGTCTAAATGTAAACACTTTATAATTACAATGCCACTTGCTCACATTTTTAAGGGAAATTAAACATTTGTAAAATTATATAATTATATATATATATATTTTAGAAATTACTGCACTATGGAATTTAGCTGTCTTCCAATACTTCATTTCAGTATCAGCTTATTGTGGTTATCACAGGCTACATGTAGCTTAAAGGTAGGGTCTGGAGGATTTTCCAGTTGCTGTTTGTAAACACACATTCAAATTTGGCCCCTCCTATCAGGCTCAACTCTCCCGGGTGTACGGAGCCCGGAGGTAGGGAAGAACATAGACATATATATGTAGACGCCGCATCAAGTGGGTTTGCCCGCTGCTGCGATACGTCAACGTCGCCGCCATATTGGATGTGGCAAGGCTGCGCTGTAAACTAATACAAGTGAATGGACTTAATTTCATAAAGCGCCCTTCTACAAAGAAATTTACGATAATGCCTCTCGTTTATTCATTCACACATGCACTAATATATTTGGGAAACAGTTAGGCACCAAAAACAATGTATTTGATCTCCCACACAGTAGTAATTCACCTTACATCAGCTAGGCCTATAGAGAACAAGGTAGTGCCGAAAAACAATACACAGTATACATATATATATGTGTGTGTGTGTGTGTGTGTGTGTATACCTAGTAGGCTACAGTAGGCCTACAATAAAAATACAAGACACAGTAAAAGGACAGACAGATACAAAAATAGCAAATATTTGCATATAAACTAAACCTAACCGTACTCATGGCAGGATTTGCAAGCGCTGAAATTAAGCTGTTTGGTGACTCAGATATCCTACACAATTACACTTTTTGGGGCTTCTGAGGCTTGCGCTTCCCTTCCTTCAGAACGGTACTCCATGCTGGGGAGAGGAGTTGGGGGCA